AAAAAAAAACTTAACTAAAGTTGTTTTAAGGTTTTAAACAATTTTAAATACTGACCTTCCTGTTGTCCCTAAAAAAAACAACAAAAAAAAACCAAAAAAAAAAACCAAACACCATTCAATTAAATAACAAAATAAGATTTGGAAAAAAAAATGATCAGCTAATTTTTAAACTCTTAAAAATTTTTTTGAATTTAAAAAAAAAATATTGTTGAGGAAGCTTTATTTTTATTTTAATGCATGTACTCTTAAATATTTCCGACAGAAATTTACAAATGGATGGATAAAATTATTTGGAAATTTTCAAGTTCATTCCATTTCTGTTATGATTCATGTGCCAACTGAAGCAGATCATAGACAACACAACACGACACCCCTTAAAGACATAAATGACAGTCTGTGGTTAAACCAGATCGAAATGCTACGTGATCTCTCCCATAAACACATCATCACTCTGTTTGCCTACAACACTAGACACATGCCACAATTCTATGTCATGGAAGATTACAAACATGAGGGAAACGATAATTTTCAGGTAAGATTAACTTCATAATAGAGAATGATAAGGCCTTTTTTTTCTTGGTACACTAATAATTTTGAATATTTTTTTTAAAAAATATTTGTTAGAATAAACGTGATGATAGTGTAAGCTACATAGGAAACTCATAAAAGCTAATCTCATGTAAAAAGTTCAAAAGTATATTACGTTTTGTACATTTTATTAATTTAAATCTTTTAAAGAAAATAAATAATACCAATTTTTAAATTATTTTATGAAAATATATTGAAATTTTAAGTCAAGTCAAGCTAGCTGTCATTATATCTTCATTCATTCTTTTCAATGTCCAAATAATTGCATGCAGCTACTTGTTTAATTAAAGGTCGTGCATCCAATAAACACTTTAAAGAGGAAACAGTTGCATTAATTACTGACATGTGTTTATCTTGTTGGAAGTGACAGCTATACTGAAATAGTTAATTGCCTTTTTTGTGTGTTCTTTTTCAAATATTTTCATTCTGACTCTACAATTCAAATAATACGATAATGAACAACTCTTTAGGTTTAAATGATGCTCTCTTATTTTATAGACTTGGCCAGACCCCAATCTTTATATTTTGCATAATGAAGGTTTTAATGACCCAATCCCGTTGCAGGAATATCTCGTGCACCTAAGTATCAACAAAACATATCTTCCTGAGGCAACACTTCTCAACTATTTGTTTCAAGCAGCTTCTGCCCTGGAGTATTGTCACAGTAAAGGAGTTGTTCACCGTAACATAACTGCGGCTAGCTTTGTAGTTTCTGGATCTGAAACTGTCAAATTGAGTGGCTTTCACTTGTCTTTTTTTCTTAAACCCACAGAAAATGAAAAGGTTTTGGGTAATAATAATATTTGTTTAAAATCGTAATTATATTTTATCCCTAATGGTTTTGTTATAGAATATAGGCGACCTGGTTGAACAAAAAATAAATTATGTACGATTTTCTTACCATTATTTCTGTCTGGTTATTGTGTGTGGATAGTTTAAAATTAGAATATATAGGTAAATTGCTATTTTTTGTTGTCTTTGTTTATGATGATAAATTTCAATTGAGTATTTGTTTTATTCTGTCTAAATTAATTTTTAATGATTTACTTAAAGAAAATCACAAATAGCTCATGAATCTAAATCATTATCATGCAAAAAGTTTATGGGTTGTACAATCATTTTTTACTTTGTCTCAAGCAATAAAAATATACATACAATTGTCCAGAGACCGTTTACTGCGATAATGTCTATAAATTTTGGAATTTGTTTAAATGATAAAATATATGTTACGTTTTAAATTTGATAATACATTATACAAATTCAATCGTTTTGTCCTGATAAAGGCATTGGCTGAAACGTTTGATTTGTATATTATCCAATCATTATTTAAGTTTAAAATACATTTCTTAATTTACACAAATTGTTTATGTTTCATTAATCAATGTCCAGAGAGCATGGCTCCTCAAAAAAGAAATTTCTATACTTTTAAAAGGCTTACATTTAAAAATTGTTTGAATAAATTTCTTAATCAATTCAAAGTTTCAGAGGACAATTGTAAGATCCCTACACGCTGGAGTGCCCCAGAATCTTTGAGGAGATGCAAATGGTCAAAGAAAACAGATATCTGGATGTTTGGTCATCTCTGTTTTGAAGTTTTTACTCATGGCTTGCTGCCTTACTCACACTTAGAACTGAGTGATGCTGATGTTGTGGCAGGGGTAGGTTGAATTTCTAGCTCAACATTTATTTATATTTTGAAAAAGTTCATTATCAGATACATTATTAAAAATTATTATTGATTGATGCATGTCGCCATATTTTTTTTATCATTGGTATTTTAGTTATAAACTATTAAAGCTTTGTCAACGATCAAGTAAACTAGTTATATGTAAATTTATATAATAAAATGAAAAACGATTCTTTATGCATATTTTTTTGGTCTTTCTATTCAATCACGATACTTTAAAAAGCCCAAAAAAACCTGGCGTATCAAATAATTTTCTTTACAAATTTTAATTTCATTTCTAATTTCTTTTTCAGATTTTTAAATCAGCTATTGATCTTAAACAAGAAAATTTCATCACAAATGTCCACTTTAAGGAAATAATATCTGCATGTGTCACCTTCAACACATGTCAAAGAGCAACAATTTCAAAGATAAAAAATAGACTTAGTTCTTTGTCAAAAGGTAACTTTGAAATTTTGTAACATTATCTGTATCAGCCTGTTACATTTATTTTTGAACACTTTTGTATCTTGAAAATTTTAAGCATGCAAGTTAAGAATGACTAAAATTTTAACATCTTTTAAGAATAAAAATCATTTCATTGAAGGTAGTCTGCAGAGATATTAATTTATCATGTTAATTCATTTTCAACTGATTTTTAAATTTAATTGATCGTAATATTATGCATTTTTTTTGTAATTTAAAGTCTGAATAAGTCTAATACAACCAATACAGGAAAGAATGTAAATTCTTAAAAATTTAATTCAGAAAAGAGTATTATTTGTTGACTTTAAAAATTGACATTATTTTTTTTTCAATTAAATATAAGTATATTATTTTCCTCTCTGAATTTTAATGGTTTTAATAAATATTAAACTGACATTAAGTCTAATTTTCTTGTTTAAGAAGTAAAATAAAGTCAAAATAAATTACACTTATTCCACAGTGTAAAAAACATATATAATTTGGATTTGTTTGAGATATAAAAGAAATGCAAACTTTAGAAATTGAAGAAAATATTTTTCCTAGATATATCATCATGCTTTTCAATTTCATTTTTAAATCAAAGCTGAGAAGAGTAGACTAATGTTTAAAAAATATAAATGTCACATTTTCAGAATGCAGCTCAGGTGTGTATGGTAACTATCCAGATCTACAAAAGGGACTTCAAAAACCATCTACAGCATATAACTTGGTAAGAACTCAAGTTCTTTAAAAAATTTTTGCATATGAAATGGAAAGCTCTAGATTTTAGAAAATTGTAAAAAGGTATACATTTTGTGTATTATAAATTTAGTTATGTAAATATTTTACGGCATTACTAAAAATCTTTAAGATTTTTTTAAAGTTTCCTTTGGCGAAAATGCATTAAAATGTGCATTCTACACAAATTTTCAGTTAAATTCTTTTTCATTTTTGTTCTGTGTATGTGCTACAGTCAAGAATGATGCAAAGTTTACTAACAGCAAGGATGTAACTGTAGACTTCTTTTACAGTTCTTATATTTTTATGGGCTAATAACTCAGAAGAATACGAGAAAGGGTTCATGTTTGGGTTTGATAAATAGTTGGAGACCTCTTAAGAATTCTGATTGAGACTTAAACAAGGTTTATAATTTCTGTAAATGTCTTTGGCTCTAGAATTATTTTGAGGCAAGTAAATGTAAACATTTCATAATACAATTTTTTAATGTATATAAAAAATAAAATGATTAGTAAAAAATCTTATTTAACTAATTATTTTTCAGGGGATCCCTAATGTGGATTGTAAGTATATAAATTATGAATTATATTTCCTTTTATATTTATCTAATTCCCTTAGCGAGTGAGCTGACGTACATTGTAATACAATTCATAAGAGATAAAATTAATTCAGTACATGAAATTCCTTGAAACTATTTTCAAATAATAATATTTAAAAATTATAAAATGAAGTTAATTTGAAAAAAAGGTCTGCTCAAAGTGGTCATTCAAGCTATTTTTAGACGTTTTCACACAAATTGTCTTGAACTCAAATCAAAACGAGCCAAAAAAAAAACCAACTCAAAAATTTAAACAATGAAACTACACACACACTATAATAATAATTGCAGAAATAAAAGAATGTTGATAAAAATTATTTGTTTGTAACTTCCTTCTGGACAGAAAAAGAAAATTTGGCCAAACAAAACAGTTAACGTAGAATCTAAACATAGATTATTTGAAGTGACTATTTTGCAAAACCATGTTTAGAATACTAAAATGAAAGAAAAAAAAATAGTTAACGACTTACCTATTTCGTTTTAGGGAACTTTTTTATCTTTTATGTCATAGTGTATATTCAAATATTTTATTTTAAGATGACTACTTCATGAGAAATAAACCGAATTCTTGCACCAGACCAACAGACAATCTTCGTTTATCCCGAATGGTAATTACATTACATTTAAAACTAAAAGTGTCAAGATGTTTAATGTGCACTTTTAAGGATTATTTATTTTTCAAAATTGATGATGCTTTGGTTGAAATAAGTTTATAGCACAGAAAACAGGATGGCATTATCATTCATTTAAAAGTTTGCTGTGTTAACATTACTGAAATTCTAATTTTGAAAATAAATATTTTAAATATTCTTTTATACATGTTTCTGTTATAGCCTACTTGTTTTTAATTTTCTTAGAAAAATGGATTGTATAGAAATAGAATAAATATTTTAAAAGGAGCACATCAATCTTGAAATTCTACTGGCTAATTTGGCGAGGTGCGGCCAGACCAGGTTTGCAATTAGAAAAAATGTCAAACCCCTTATGGTGTAATCACACTAGAAGAACAAAGTATGTGGAAACATGAAATAGAAAAACAGGACAATAAAAGAAGATTGTTTCAGCAAGGAGGCTGTCCTGTCTTTCTATTTTAAGCTTCCTCATACCGTGTTTTTCTATTTCTTTTTCACAGCTTGAACGCCGTCCTTTATTTATAAAGTGTAATCACATATGATTTGATGCTGTGAATATCCGTTTATAATGCTTTTTATATTATGTTTAAACATTTTTAGTTAAAAGAATAAATATTTTTTTAAGCTATCGAAAAATGTCCCTCTCCAATCTTTGAACTAGTTCTGCACTATGGCCTTAAGATATCTTATGTCTTAAGATTTCCAAGATTTGTTTAACATATTAGTGTTTATAGGTTAAAACCTTTTTTCCCAAAACATATTTTTCATTTTTAAAATGTTCCCTTTTTTAACATGTTTTGCTAAGCTTACATAATTAAATCTAAACTAACCAACTCTTAACAGGGAGACGAATACCTTATAAAGGAACTTGTAAACAGAAAATTCACAAAGGAACTGGTTGAGCAAGTAAATAATGGGGCTCTGGATTACTTGCTGCCTTTTCTACACATCAACACAGAAACAAAAGCAATTGTAAGTCAATCTTAAGTATTTTATAGAACATACAAATATACAAAGAATGGCAGCTAGTGGTTTGGTGAAGCTTATAATAAAATATATAAATACTTATTCTATAAGGGAAGACCTACTGGATTTCTTGGAGCTAATCTATCGATCTCTCTGAAGCTGAAGTGTCCTGTTAGCATTAATGTCACGAATCCCCAATATCGGAAGTTCTTTACTTATCCAAGAGATTGTGGATCTTTTATATCTATTGTTGAACTTCTTTGTTACTTTTTGTATTTGTAGTTGATCAATATCTTTATTATTTCGCCATCTTTATTTCTTATTTCAAATATATTTAGCTAATAGTTTGTTCATAGTATTAATAAATTATTCAATTGTTTGTGTTCAGGAGATTCAATTGCCCTATGCCAAAATATTCTGTCTGCTGGATTTGGTTTCACAAAAGCTAAATTGTAAAATACAGAGCCTGATTCACAAGCTAGCTTTGATGGTTGATAGAATTCATAAGTTAGGGTTTGTTCTGGGAGATATCAGAGCATCCTTAATCTTTGTGAACAGTGAGTCTGTGGATAAAATGAAGGTAATTATTGTCTGCATTATTTTTAAAAATTAATTGAATAAGCAGGTTTATAGCTAATCAATAGTGATAAGTTATCTACACTATGGCCCTAAGATATGTTAACTACATTATGGCCTTAATATATGTTTGCTACACAATAGCCTTAATATAAGTTTACTTCACTGTCCCTATGGCCTATAGTGTATATGTTAACTACACTATGGTCTTAAGATATGTTAAAAACACTATGGTCTTAAGATATAATTATTAAACTATTGAAGATATGTTAACAAAACTATGATCTTAAGATATGTTAACAAAACTATGACCTTGCGATATGTTAACTAAATTACAGCCTTAAGATATGCTAACTTGATTATGACACTATGACCTTAAGATATCTTAACTACACTATGAACTTAAGATATGTAAACTACACTATGGCCTTAAGATATGTTAGCTATAATATGGCCTTAAACCAATGACATAAAAAATAGTGCTCATGTTTAACTGTGTGCTTTAAGCGAAGAGTTTCTTAAAATTTTTGTTAAAAGTCTTTTCCTTAGTTTAATTTTTTCATTTGTACTCCTTTTACCACGAATTATGAATCTGTTTCTTCACTTTAGTTAAAAATACTACTGTTTTTTTTTTCACGGAGATGGAGAGAGACAGACAGAGTGAGAAACACAGAGAGAGAAACAGGGAGGAAGAGAGAGAGAGAGACAGATAAAGAGAGAGCAAGAGATAGATAGAGACATAGAAACAAAGAGAGAGATAGAGAGAGACAGTCAGAGAGAGAGAGAGAGAGAGCGAGAGAGAGAGAGGGTGTGAGATGAAGACGGAGAAAGATGGAGAGGGAGTGAGAGAGAAAATGAAGAAAGAAAAGAGACAATTCATGAATTATTTATTTTTGGTCAGATTTTTGTACTAATTATAATGCTTTTAATTTACTTTATCTTTCAGTTTCACCCCGTGTCTTTGGCTTACATAAATTATGTGATGGATAAAAGGAGACCAGTTGAATTTAGTAAACCAACAGACCCCGTGACACTTGCACGGTAAGTAATTTAAACAACGCCACTTTTGACAATCTATGTTAACTGTTACAACCGGCAGCCTACTTATGTTTATTTGGATCGTTCTAGGCACTCTTGGTTTTAGACTGCACTAAATATTTGTTTATAATTGATTTACAATGTTTTAGTCATGCAAATTTGTATAATTTTCAAATGATTTCAGAGCAGTTCAATTAATTTTCACATATGTTGGATTTTTAATTAAGATTTAAATAAAATTATATCTAATTTTAAAAAAAAAATATGAATAGCAAATTATTATATTTATTTACAAAGACAATTTAAAAATAACAATTATTTGCTTGTACAGGGCAGCCCCGGAGGTGATAGAGCATGGTCACTATTCGTTTGCAAGTGATGTGTACAATTTTGCTGTCATGATCCATGAACTTTATGAAGCATCATTAAAAGTCAAGGACAAGCATTATTTGAATGATAGGCTTGCAGATTTGATAGTAAGTAAAAACAATAAGGTTGAAGGTTGTACCCTTTGATCAAGAGTTTTAAATGTATGTCTGTATTCAGCTCAAATTATCTTTCATATTAAAATGTATACATTATTCAGAAAATTATTGCCATCTGTAAATTCATGATGCTGAGAGTAAGACGTTCTACCCTCCTAGATGAAAGTGCAAGGTGTATAGTAAAGGACTTAAATTAGAAAATATAATCAAGAAATTTTTTTAAAAAAAGCAAAAACGACATCTACATTATATTAATATAAATGGTAGCCAGGTTTTCAGAATATCTATAATTTATCACTAATGAAGACAGATGTTCAGGATATCTATAGTATATCCCTAGGTTACCCAGATGTTCAGGATATTTAAACTGTATCACAAGCCCAACCAGGTTTTGATGCACTGGGAAGCAAACAGTCAAATTAAAAAACACCAACACACCAAAATCCTTAGTCAACAAATAAAAATGATTTTGATTTTACGGTTTATAGGAGCCAGAATGATCAATTCATTGATCGTGGGCCGTTAAAATAAAGAAGAAGAGGAAGAAGAAGTTTAGTTTTTGTTCTTGAAACACAAAAGAAAATTTGATAAATATTTAAACCAGTTTTGAAAATAACATGTGCTGCAACATAATCAAGAATGGGAGAAGAAATTGGGGGAGGGGGAAATCTTAGATCAATTCAAAATTCAGGAAAGCATTTTGGGGCATAAATGAATTTAATTATTTATAATTCTATACTTAATCTGAGAGTAATTAAAAATCTCTGACGGTAAGTCTGCCAGGTCAGCGGTCCATAGCAAGTGTCTTCCATGAATCAAGTTTACTGTCCATGGATTTAATTGAGACTTTTAGACAGTCTTGGAGGTTTTTTTTATTTGCCAACCAGCTGACTGCTTCCCACTGGAGATTTCATTGAACTACAATCGTCTGGGAATTTTTCTGTCTGCCATTGTTGCGTCATGCCCTGTCCATCTGGCTTGTCTTTTTAGTAGGAGCCTGTAGATGCTGATATAATTGGCCCAATGCAAGTAGGCAACGTGGGTGGAAATGGTTAACTGTCTTGCATGTCTGCTGTTCAATGGCAACGTCTCACTAACATATTATAAGGGAGATGTTAAGGGATGATATCCTTATGTATATAACCTTAGCGTTCAAAATGCAAGATATGCTGTGAAAATTTGGTTATTGATATCATCATCTATTGTTGCTGACCTATGCCTATACTCTATATGTAATCACTAACTCTTTCACAAATCAATATAGGCGAATCTCACAAGAATATTCATATTCCAATTTTTAAAACTAAGATTGTATATGACCTAATAATGTAGACACTTCTATCTTTCAAAATTGTTAAATTATTGTCTAAATTCGATATTGTTTCTTTAAGCAGTAACCATTAATCTTTGGAGATATATTATTATTAAGGTGGTCTTATATAGCGTAGTGCACCAGCCTAGGGCTAGACTCTCCGCTATTCACATACAAATTAGCAGTTAAAGAAAATTATACATTTAACAACAGCAATCTGTAAAAAGCTTGACCTCACCCACCCCAGTACTGTCTAGCTTTGGCCAGCTATGGACGGCAATCCGCAGTATCAAGCGTTGTTTATTCGTCGGCGGGTATAGTATCGTTTTAAGAGATGTGTCTTGATGGCAGTTTTGAAGGCCTGGATTGTCGGAATATTGCGGATGTGTAATGGAAGAGAATTCCATTGCTTGGGGGCACAGAAAGGGAAATATTGATCAACGTATGTTTCAGGGCGTGTCCTGGAAATAGTAAGAATACGCGTGTCTGCGGAGGAACGAAGCTTTCGAAGGGCTGAACAGACAGAAAGAAGTTCAGTAAGATAGGAAGGGCATGAACCAGAGACAAAATATTGATTTTCCATGTATGTAAAAGTTAAATACCACTCACTAACTGATCACAAGATCTCAAGAACAACAAGTCCTATGAAGTTAAAATATGGCTTGGTTATCTGTCTTATTATAATATATATGTGCACTGATAATTTGTTTTAACATTCAGAATTTAAGTTGCCCAAATGACATAATGTCAAAACATATAAAATCTATGGTTTGTTTCCTGGGCATGTTCTTGTTTTGTGCTTTGATGTCACTTTGTATGTATATTGCAAAGAATTTGAACATGTACTATTTTACTCTTGACAATAATGTACATACAACAAGGATATTTATATTTAAGTTTTGAAACGATTCACATACTATTTAATATCACCAAGTGATGGATGTAGACACTTATCTCGGTATTTATATATAAATTGTTTTTGATGGTTAAATATAAATCAAAAGTATGTGTTGAAAATTAATTGCGACCAAGATAAACATCGGATTAGTTTTAGAGCTCTATCTGTCGGTGGTTGTGGAGGTGGCTGATCAAGCCGATTCTTTTGTCCCAGACACAGTACATATATAGCCAAATACCACTCACCTACTGATCACGAAATGAATTGATAAACTTTGTAGTTATATTTTTGTTGATGACTTTGTGAACGGTTAGTGCTGTTACGAACTGTTATCGATATGGAGAAATTAATCTCTTATTTAAGTTTGTGGCTCGTTCTACAACAGCACACAACAAAAGAAGATACCATAAAGTAATTACAATAACAAAACATTCGATACTTAAACCATGGCTAATTACAATTAATCTTTATATATAATTAGCCAGAAGAGGTCAAACAAGAAGACGGGTCAAACACCACCACGCAGGCTATCTATAGATACGCCAGAGCAAGCAAACAAGAGGCAGGCAAACCCTCCCCTCGCTTGCCAGCCATGCGCACACCCCCAACAAGCTAGCGGTGCCTGCCATGCCGTGGGTCACGTATCATGAAAAAAAAAGGGGGGGGGGGTGCGAATTTGGCATTCTTAAATGTGGATAACTTGAGTTCACGTTTTAGTCGAGTAACTATAGTAGCTGGCAAGTTCACGCATTGCTGTCGCCAATGTTTGGCACGCTACATCTAGTAAGTTTTATTATGTTGATTATAACTTACAAAATCAAAAGAAATAAATATAAAGCTATTGGCTTACAGTATAATGATTGGTTTGTACCAGTAGAGTGTCGAAGAAGATTCAATGTAAAATTGTACAATGATGAAAAGGAATCTACACACAAACAGTAAACAAATCTATGTCTCGTATTGCAAAACAATAGCACACGGTCAAAATAACTATCGTCTCTGAATCTACCTCCTGTCGCTCAATCTCTCGGCTTTATATATCCTGTTTAATAGATACTTCGTGAAGGACTAAGCATTGAACTCGTTTCTCAAAGCTTCGACATAAATCTACAAAATTCTAATAAAAAACAGACCATAGCTTTTAGTTAGTAGTAACCGAGGTCAAAGGGAGACTATAATTAGTAAGCCACACCCTAATAATATCGCGGCCGAACTTGGGGCCAGCTCAAATTCATTCACCAGAAAATATGAATGAAAGTAAACGAGACGTGCATAACAGTACCATTAGAAAAAAAAATATTTTTAAAAAATTAACCAACAAATTAAGCAGTTTTGTCTTTTTTAACCAATCATCTCATGATCTGAGTTTAGTTGATTTTGATCGCAAATACCTCAGATAACTTTCTTAGGTAGTTTAGCATTCTGAATAAATTCTTCAAAACGTTAAAAACTAAATCCTCAATGCTTAAAAAGTCAGTCTATTATTTTCATGAAGTTAGTTCTAGCGTTGGTTCCGATTCTTGGCTCTCCAGGTGACACTGTGAAACTTTATTGATTAATCTGTTGTTTGATAGCGCAATAAAAAATATCTCGATTTTTGTAGCTTCCCTTTGTATAGAAGCAACTTTAAGGGACGGCGGAAAGACAGCTCCGATTGTCTTTAAACTTTCTCTTAACTTAAATCACTCTGAACCTCATAGTCAGAGACTAATTTGTCCAAAATTTCGAATCAGTTTAATACAAATCAGCTGCTTTGGGAGAACAAGATGATTGTTTGGGATGAGAGCAACATGGCTCACAACAGGTGACTGAAACATCAAACAGAAATTTTCATGTCAACTAGAGAACTAAATGCCTTATAAATTGGATAAATAAGCTACTGAACGGTACTTTAGGATAGAAAAAACTGGTCTTTTCTCTAAGCACCAGCTGATGGGGTAAAATCCTAAGTCCCCCCACCTGTGGCCAAAGCTGTCCGATCCTTCAGGGTAAACATGATGGCCCTCATTGTTCCTTTCCAAATAGGGCGTGAACATTTCCAGAACGATGTGGGCAAGGTCTCTCCATAAGATCTCTGTGACACCGAAATCCATTGCTTGCTTACTTTTACCTACATTCTAGGGTGGTGATGGATACGGGCAGCTTCAAACTAAATATCTGATCATTGCTTGACGTACTTGTCATGACTATCAACAACTATTATAGAACGTTATTTTCTAATAGTTCTCATCCATCATATTGAATCATCTTTTGTTCTTAAGATTTCATTAAACAAAAGCATTTATCTCTTAAAACGCATTAAACTTTTCGTATAGATTAATCACTCTATCGTAAAACCTTTATGAAGTATGGGTATTGAGTTAGCAATAGACTAAACACTAAAATTAAGACGAGTTCATATTTTGTACAGTCATCAAACATTCCAATCAAACCCCACATCCCTTACACTTACACAATCCCCAACACTTACACAAATTCCAATATTTACACAGCCCCAAACACATACATAATCCCTCAACATTTATCCGCATCGTAAAAAAATGGTAACTATTTTGCTTAATTCAAAAAATCGTCATCTCCATGTATTTCACAGGAAGGCAAAATCAAGATAAAAGAACTGAAAAAGCCGAGTGCAATGTCTGGGAAACTGTATCATCTCACGAGGAGATGCTTAGACCCGGCTCCTTCTAAAAGACCTCCATTGAGGGACCTGCTTGAGTATGCAATTTTTAAACAATATCATCTCTTAAACTTTTACTATCTAATCGATAAATGCCTTTCTTTTATTTGATAACCAAATTCCCTTAACATAAAAAGAACATATGATAGAGATATTTGACAGCTTTATTGATATAAGATAAAACTGACTGAGATTTTTGACAAGTGTAAGATAGGACTGATGGCATTTGACAGCTCCATTGGTATAAAATAAGACAGATAGGGATGCTTGACAGCTCCATGTGTGTAAGAAAGAACTGATAGCACATTTGACAGCTCCATGGGTGTAAGCTTTTGTGGATTGTTTTAAGCATATAAATGGACAGTAACAGCTGTAGCTTGTATAGACTATGGTTATTTTAGAGGTCTGTCGGTTGACATGAAGTGTTTTGTTCTTAGAGGAAGACTTGTGTATATGATTTTCATTGTTGAATGGGTGTGGCAGCCAGTAAGTTTAAGCAGATGTGGTATGTGGGAGATGTGTTTGATGTAGCAATAATAGGTTCACGAGGAGGGTTCAAAGGATCCGACAAAAATGTAAATTCTGTGAGGGGTGCGGTAAAAGAGATGTGGAATGTTAGATGGTAAAATACTGGCTGGAGATGTGGAATGTTAGATGGTAAAATACTGGCTGGAGGTGTGGAATGTTAGATGGTAAAATACTGGCTGGAGATGTGGAATGTTAGATGGTAAAATACTGGCTGGAGATGTGGAATGTTAGATGGTAAAATACTGGCTGGAGATGTGGAATGTTAGATGGTAAAATACTGGCTGGAGATGTGGAATGTTAGATGGTAAAATACTGGCTGGAGATGTGGAATGTTAGATGGTAAAATACTGGCTGGAGATGTGGAAAGGATATGTTTGGTTAGAGTAAGTACATTGAAATAATGTAACTCAAAGACATATAAGTACCTACGAGACAACATACCATATTGTGGAGAGTTGGGACCACGACGGGCGCCGGGGGCGTCTGACCAGGGATTACGGCCGTCTGACACGATCGACGGATCAAGCCATCTGACCAGGGAATTTACCTGGGACGTCTGGTCTGTTTGTAACCTGGCGCCAATTGAGAAAAAGGGGCGGGGTATAATGCGCCAGTCCAGACCTGGGAGAGGAACTATGGGACAGGGAGGTATAAATAGGGATCTCTGGACGGGACGAGGAGGAATGCGGCCGGACTGAGAACTAGATAGCAGGGAGAAGTCAGAGTTGTGAGATGAGTGAAAGTGTAAGCAAAGTGACAGCCCAATAAAGAACACGAGTTTAATCATCAATTGTTATCGCCGGAGTTGTTTCCTTATTGAGAACCAGATCTAGATGAAGTTTATCAGAGAGTAAGCAAGGTTTCCTTACAATATACTAATAAATGGTTTTGTAACATGTAAATCTGTTCTTTTAGATAGAAATGATGAAAGGAGAAGAGCTAAGGTCGTAATTTATTTACTATGGGAGAAATGTAAGTGCTTTCCAACTTACCTGGAGAAAACTGTCTAACCCAAAAAACGACCTTACATTTCTGTAACAGTTTTAAAAATAATAATAGTATTAACAACTGAAGCCATTCACTGATTACAATGAGTGAAACCTATGCATTATCGCTAAGCTAATAAACTTGTTGATCCATATATTTAAAGCTTATCACGTTAAAGGCTTACACTATTGAATTGTAAAATATCGCACTAGTCGTTCCTCGTTTTATAAGCGGAAATCTTCATGTTGTTCACACATATCGGCATTTTAATTTTTTTTATCTTGCGACTTCACAAGTTTAAAGAATTTTTAACACTGTACGAAACTACCTTCTAATCAAATAAAGGTCAATACTTTTAATATAATTCCTTCTAAGTATCAAACATGTGCAACCTATTTTAAAATGATATTTCAATACAAAAAACCTGAGTTTTAAAGTTGGGATGGGTGTTAATATTTACTTAGTTTACATGTTTTAATAATTGTAAAGCGCTTAGAGCTTTATGATAAGCGCTATATAAAAATGCCTAAATAAATAAATAAATAAATAATAATAAATTGTATGATGGCTTCAAGCTTAAAAAATAATAGTTTTTAGCATAATTTTAATTGTAAACGATTCCATGGATGTTGAGCTAAATAAAAAGAAAACTTTATATTTAATAAAAATGTATCGGGGCGCAGACAAAACGTGCAGGTTTGATCAACTATGATTCAAATCCAAAGCGTTTGTACCAAAGTTTCCTAAATAACTGATTTTAAAATTTTAATAAATTAGCCTATATCTATTAAATGCCCAACTGCTTTAGTCTTGTTAAAACCAGAAGGATAACTCAATTTTCCAAACTATTAAATGCCCAACTGCTTTAGTCTTGTTAAAACAAGAAGGATAACTCAACTTTCCAAACTATTAAATGCCCAACTGCTTTAGTCTTGTTAAAACAAGAAGGATAACTCAACTTTCCAAACTATTAAATGCCCAACTGCTTTAGTCTTGTTAAAACAAGAAGGATAACTCAACTTTCCAAACTATTAAATGCCCAACTGCTTTAGTCTTGTTAAAACAAGAAGGATAACTCAACTTTCCAAACTATTAAATGCCCAACTGCTTTAGTCTTGTTAAAACAAGAAGGATAACTCAACTTTCCAAACTATTAAATGCCCAACTGCTTTAGTCTTGTTAAAACCAGAAGGATAACTCAACTTTCCAAACTATTAAATGCCCAACTGCTTTAGTCTTGTTAAAATCAGAAGGATAACTCAACTTTCCAAACTATTAAATGCCCAACTGCTTTAGTCTTGTTAAAACCAGAAGGATAACTCAACTTTCCAAACTATTAAATGCCCAACTGCTTTAGTCTTGTTAAAACCAGAAGGATAACTCAACTTTCCAAACTATTAAATGCCCAACTGCTTTAGTCTTGTTAAAATCAGAAGGATAACTCAACTTTCCAAACTATTAAATGCCCAACTGCTTTAGTCTTGTTAAAATCAGAAGGATAACTCAATTTTCCAAACTATTAAATGCCCAACTGCTTTAGTCTTGTTAAAACCAGAAGGATAACTCAACTTTCCAAACTATTAAATGCCCAACTGCTTTAGTCTTGTTAAAACCAGGAAGGATAACTCAACTTTCCAAACTATTAAATGCCCAACTGCTTTAGTCTTGTTAAAACCAGGAAGGATAACTCAACTTTCCAAACTATTTCCACGGATCTTTTTAATTTCTTTTATTTCTAATTGAGAATATGGTAGAAACTTGAAAAAAAAAATAATTTTAATTATCGTGTATATTCCCTTTGCATTTATTTATTTTAAAAAATAATTTTTGTAACAGATTTAGAAAAAAATCTTGGCTCTAAATCATAAATTGACAATAAATTCTGTGGATTTGTTTTTACTTGTTTAATTTACCCAAAACAATTTATAGTAGTTGGAAATTCCATAAATTTCAATCAACTGACTATTGGGAAATTTTAACCGTTACTCTATTTTAAAACATTTTTCTTCAGATAAAATCACAAATTAATAAATATATAATGTCTTTTGTAAACAACTAATGTCTTCCTGACAAAATATGCCATATATTATTGCACCTCTTGATTTGTGAATAATCAAAATTATTTTGTGGAAAGACCTCTCCAGACCCCTCTTTCGCTCAAGATTTCTGACCTATTTTCAAATGAAAAGTGTGGCCGATTTGCGTGCCTCATTGATACACTGACTAGTGGCATGGCTAGAATTAGTTTCACAATGGGCGGCCACAGACTTGTGTCGTTCTCCCTGTCACGATACAACCTCTGAAGTTGTCCGACTATGCCTCACTTACGTATAAAGAAAAAGTAACACATGGGTGGACAATTCCAATCTGCCCCATTTTTAAGCCCCTGGCAGGAGCGTAGCTTGAGTCTTAAGCGGCGGGGAAAAAATATTAATTTATACTTACCTCCCCTCAACTCTGAAATCCATTATTTTAAACCATTAAATACCATCAAAGCCCATTTTTGCGCCCCCACTAGTCTGATGCCCACGAGACGTCTGTCCGTTTACCAAACCCTTAGTCACGCCTCTGGCCACCCGCATCGCCCCCAAAAATCCCCCCCCCACCCCCGCTCGATAAACTTAGAAGGAATACTGGTGTGTGTAGGAGCTACAAATGATGTGAAATAATCTGGGATCCGCTATCATTATAGAAAATATAAACATTCATTTTCTAAAGAAGTTCTTGAATAAATTTGTAATATAATATTTTTCTCTGCAGTTTCTTCTCTACAGAAACAACGATCTCAAGGAGAAGCCAATTCATGGATGACTCTAGTTCAGATGTTTATCCTAGAGACAATGAAACCGGAAATAGTGACGAAGAAAATCCAAGACCACAAAGATCAAGACCTAATGGCAGGCCTAGAACTCCCACACAACAAGACAATAATCTAACCAACAATTTATCATTTAATTTGATCAATCCATCTCAGACTGACAGTGATTGCGAGACTGATTTATACAATCAAGAAGAGAGTTTTCAAAGAGCAAGATTATTGAGAAAGAACTGTTTTTATTTGAAGTCAAAAGAGACATCCATTGCAAATAGCAATTCATATCCCTCGAGGCCAAGAAGTACTGCCTTGAAAAATCGCATTAGTGTTGGTACAGAAGGTGGCGCAAATGTGACAGAAGGTGGTGAGAGTGGGGCAGAAGGATGTGAGGGTGGGGCAGAAGGTGGTACTGGTGCTCAAGTGTATGAAGAAATGACTTATTCTGACAGCAGCGAAAACGAATATGATGGTATTCTTGGTAATCCTTATCCGACTGCTAGAAATTTAATTTTCCGACCATGTGAGTCAGTTTCAGGAATCGGAGTTGACCCACGCGTTGCCAGACAAGGTCATTACCTCAGTGACAGTTCCCTCGATGTGGGTCATAGCGACTACTCAGAGATCGATGAGGCAAGTCAAACTATTCCGGAAGAAGAATTATATGAGATCTGCCACTAGGTAGTTCAAATTTATTCCCCTACCCCAACTCGAAAATGTATTGTTAGTACATTTTGTATGTGTTTAGGCTACTGTTGTAACAAATTTTCTAATTCACAGTTAAGATTTGCACAAGGTGTTATCCAAGTCAAGTAAACTTTTTGGAAAGATTATCCAAGAATCAGAATATTATATTTTCAATATCTTTTGGAAAGAAGTATTGGCCACATCTGTCCATGTCTATAATATATTGACCACAGCTATCTATGTCTATAATATATTGACATCTGTTCATGTCTATAATATATTGACCACAGCTGTTCATGTCTATAATATATTAACCACAGCTGTCAATGTCTATAATATATTCATCATAGCTATCTATGTCTATAATATATTTACCACAGCTGTTAATGTCTATAGTATATTGAACACAGCTGTCCATGTCTATGATATATTGACCATAGATGTCATATCTATGATATATTGATCACAGCTGTCCATATATAATATATAACCACAGATCTGCATATCTAAGTTATATTGATTTTGTTGTTTCCTGTCTTTTAAAATGAACTAATTTTCATATTTTCATTAACTTAGTTATGTTGATGGTTTTACAGTCCAATGATAATGTTTCAATAATTGTAAGATTGTGAAGAAAAGGACTCACCCACCGCTAACAAAGGTAATCACACTTTAGATGTGTACATGTAGTTCACAATTTAATAGCCGTTTGCAAGAAGTACATGTCATGTACATATGTGATAAAGGCGTCTGGTTTACTTCATCTTTGCTCGTGCATTGAACTTTAGCTGACCCCAAGTTCGGCACGCGACATCGTGGGGCTTAATTATAAATAGTCTCCCTTGCCCTTGTCTGCAAGTAAAAACAATCTATAGTCTTTCGAATGAGACATCTTTAGAATGTCCTAAATTGGTCAAGGTACTTATTCAATGCAGAACCAATTTCTAGAAATCTCTCTGAAACAGACTATTTATACGCGTTTCGACTGAACGGAGGAGGGATTCAGCGGGTAAAGATTTGCTATAACGATACGACGCGAAAATTTGTTTTTTTAATATTGACCGTGTGTGTACGTTCATTTTTCAACATTTCTTTTTCATTTTGTAATTTTCTATTAACTTAATAAAATGATTAATTGTAATTAGCGGTAATTTGTGTATCGTTTCTTTATTATTGTATTTACTTAATGTTATCGTCTTTGTTGTATGTTTTTTATCAACGAGCCATATAGTCAAATAAGAGATTAAATTCTCTGCACTTATAACAGTACGTAGCACTCAATAAAGCATTTTCAATAACTGATTAAGTGTAACACTAATAGCTGGTCTTAATAAAAAAACAACAACATCAACACCAACAACAACATAACCGCTCCTTTTGTAAATGAATGGGTAATACGTTTTTTTGGACCGCTAAATCAGGCAATCGGTTCTCTAATCATATGATATCCTTTAATTAATTAGTTCCTATGTTAAAGGGAGCTGTCATACCCCCCCCCCCCTTTTCTCCAATTCACTGCTTATTGTTTTGTCGTTCTGTGACGTCCTCAGCATGGTGCGCCCGCGTTTGCCAAACTCTTAGGTTGGCGGACCGATGGACCAGTTTCAGAACTGTACCAAGGACCGGTGTCAGGTTTACACATTATATTTTCTTTTTATTTGTCAATAAATATTCATTTTGTGCGGACCGGCAGCGTTGGGCTACCGGACCGGCAGCGTTGGGCTAGCGGACCGGCAGCGTGGGGCTAGCGGACCGGCAGTGTTCCGTGGACAACCCCCTGGAAAGCGCTGTGTTACACAATGACATACGCATGTCAAATGATATTACGCTTCTTTCCTGAGATGCCCAGACTTAAATTGTTGGTGTTGAGAAATCCGAATTTCATGGATATTTCAATAGCTTCTGTAATAAATTGTAACGACACCAAGATCAATATTTGATATCGTTCTTCATTTACATCTTCTCGGCGTGCAGTCTTCCTTCCACTATCTCTCTATTTCTCTCACTCTATATCTCTCTCCCTCTCTCTGCATACTGACCACCAAACCATAAAAAAAACAAACGACATTTCCCATATCGAAAGAATTCACCATATAAAGCAGACAGCAAAAGGTGCACAGTTTATTTCGACCCCAAAAAACAGCTCACCAACAAATCCAGTAGAAAAACAAAACAGTTCGAAAAAAATGTAATCAACTGCCATTACGTAACAACCTAACAAAGCACGGGTATGGCACAACACGTCGTTCTTGTTTAAAATAAAAAATACAGTAGTAGATCATTGACATCATTAGCATGTACATAAAATAACGCTACTGTAACTTATAAATAAATTCAGGAGTAAATTCAAATGATTAATGTTTTTATTCTGATTATTTTTATTCTCTCTCTGTCTCTCGCTCTCTCTGTCTCTCTCTGTCTCTCTCTGTGTGTTTGTGCGAGTGTGTGTGTCTGTGTAAAAAAAGGGGGGGAAGGGGGTAAAGTTTCATACAAACTTAAAGAGATTTGAGTAGATTGGTTTCTTTCCAATGGCCAGGACATTAGACTGACATGATCCACATTGCTTGTGGGGCATCTGAATATTGATAGCTGGGTGGCAGAGCGGTCTAAACTGTTTCAAATCAAACACCTGGTTGTCTGGCGTTCAATCCAAAGCCAACATCCCAAGCACCCCGTGTGGATGAAACTCGCTAGCCTTGGACGGCACCCCATCTAATGTGTTGATCTTATTCCCCTGACCTTAATTATCACTCTAATAGAAGGTGCAACCCGGGTAATAATGGAAGGCATATTGCGATGAAGACGACCTGCTTGTGTATGGGGTCGTGCGTAAACTATGTCACGCTCAGTGGAGAGGGGGTCGAGGTTTGTGTTACTTTGTGACAAGGAGAGGGAAGGGGGGAGTAAACAATACATTCTTATTTTGAAAATATCTTTATTCAATTTATTTTAAAAACATTAATTTGAGGTCGAAATTGCCACATGTATTGTAGGTAACGTGAAACTTAGTCCTTCACATCTTATGCGCATATCGAAAACTGACGCAAAAACTGTGGCCATTTTACATTCGGCTCGGAGATGAATTTGTTGTTTTGCATTTTACGTCACAGTTTTCTAGTAATACTACATCTTAATCCATTATGGGAAAATGTTACACATGTAAAATAAAATCTTAGTTTAGTTACGAAAATTATCTGAATGTTTTGAATTTTTTAAGGTGTGACGTGACACTGAGGGGGAGTGTGTGTGTAAAGAATTTGTGACATTTTGTGACAGGGTAGATGGGGGTCGGAAAATGTCATTTTTTTGCGTGACGTCATTTCAGAACGACCCATATGTTTCGGTGATTAATTAATTATACAATGTACAGAAAAATTCAAACCAGAAACCCATCACCTAAAAACCTATTTTTAGTTTGGAGCTCAATAAGATATTTGATGAATTGTACAAGAAAAAACAAAAAAAACAAAACATTTCCAAAACTTTTTTGAAATGCACAGTCAGGAAAGAAAAAAAAAATCAGACATTACTTATTTTTCAAGAAATATTTATTTATTGTTGTTTACATTTGTAACATCATTTGCTTTTGTGAAATTGTTGTCTTTTATAAACTTACCATATGGTTTTCAACGCTAAAGAAAATATAATGTCCAAAACTGTTCTAAAAAATACACACTCCTTAAATCTATAATAAACATATAATCAACACATTAAAAATACATTATTTAAGGTTCTGTAATACAAATATATTTGCTCACTCTAAAAAATGACACTCTTATTGAACCATACTTTCTTTCAAAAATTTAGAATCATTTGTAACATACTCTCAATACCAAATTCGCTAATTTGGGAGCAGTTCTTTAGGAAGCAGTCCATTTGGAAGAAATCCTTTAGGAAGCAGTCCATTAGGAAGAAGTCCTTTGGGAAGCAGTCCATTAGGAAGAAGTCCTTTAGGAAGCAGTCCATTAGGAAGCAGAACATAAGGAAGCAGTCCAGTAGGAAGAAGTCCATTAGAAATCAGTCCATTAGGAAGAAGTCCATTAGAAATCAGTACATTAGGAAGAAGTCCATAAGAAATCAGTCCATTAGGAAGACGTCCATTAGAAATCAGTTGATTAGGAAGAAATCCATTAGAAATCAGTACATTAGGAAGAAGTCCATTAGAAATCAGTACATTAGGAAAAAGTCCATTAGAAATCAGTACATTAGGAAGAAGTCCATAAGAAATCAGTTCATTAGGAAGAAATCCATAAGAAATCAGTACATTAGGAAGAAGTCCATAACAAATCAGTCCATTAGGAAGAAGTCCATTAGAAATCAGTACATTAGGAAGAAGTCCATAAGAAATCAGTACATTAGGAAGAAGTCCATAAGAAATCAGTCCATTAGGAAGAAATCCATTAGAAATCAGTACATTAGGAAGAAGTCCATAAGAAATCAGTACATTAGGAAGAAGTCCATTAGAAATCAGTACATTAGGAAGAAATCCATTAGAAATCAGTACATTAGGAAGAAGTCCATAAGAAATCAGTCCATTAGGAAGAAATCCATTAGAAATCAGTACATTAGGAAGAAGTCCATAAGAAATCAGTACATTAGGAAGAAGTCCATTAGAAATCAGTACATTAGGAAGAAATCCATTAGAAATCAGTACATTAGGAAGAAGTCCATAAGAAATCAGTCCATTAGGAAGAAATCCATTAGAAATCAGTACATTAGGAAGAGGTCCATAAGAAATCAGTACATTAGGAAGAAGTCCATAAGAAATAAGTACATTGGGGAGAAGTCCATAAGAAATCAGTACATTAGGAAGAAGTCCAAAAGAAATCAGTACATTAGGAAGAAGTCCATAAGAAATCAGTTCATTAGGAAGAAGTCCATAAGAAATCAGTCCATTAGGAAGAAGTCCATAGGAAATCAGTACATTAGGAAGAAGTCCATAAGAAATCAGCACATTAGGAAGAAGTCCATAAGAAATCAGTTCATTAGGAAGAAATCCATTAGAAATCAGTTCATTATGAAGAAGTCCATAAGAAATCAGTTGATTAGGAAGAAGTCCATTAGAAATCAGTCCATTAGAAGGCAGTCAATTAGGAAGAAGTCCTTTAGGAAGTAGTCCATTAGTAAGAAGTTCTTTAGGAAGCAGTCCATTAGGAAGAAGTCCATTAGGAAGAAGTCCTTTAGGAAGCAGTCCATTAGGAAGAAGTCCTTTAGGAAGCAGTCCATTAGGAAGCAGTCCATTAGGTAGCAGTCCATTAGGAAGAAGTCCTTTTGGAAGCAGTCCATTAGGAAGCAGTCCATTAGGAAGAAGTCCTTTAGGAAGCAGTCCATTAGGAAGCAGAACTTAAGGAAGCAGGCCATTAGGAAGAAGTCCATTAGAAATCAGTCCATTAGGAAGAAGTCCATTGGAAATCAGTCCATTAGAAGGCAGTACATTAGGAAGAAGTCCTTTAGGAAGTAGTCCATTAGTAAGAAGTTCTTTAGGAAGCAGTCCATTAGGAAGAAGTCCATTAGGAAGAAGTACTTTAGGAAGCAGTCTATTAGGAAGAAGTCCATTAGGAAGAAGTCCTTTAGGAAGCAGTCCATTTGGAAGAAGTCCTTTAGGAAGCAGTCCATTAGGAAGCAGTCCATTAGGTAGCAGTCCATTAGGAAGAAGTCCTTTTGGAAGCAGTCCATTAGGAAGCAGTCCATTAGGAAGAAATCCTTTAGAAAGAAGTCCATTAGGAAGCAGAAGATAAGGAAGCAGGCCATTAGGAAGAAGTCCATTAGAAATCAGTACATTAGGAAGAAGTCCATAAGAAATCAGTTCATTATGAAGAAGTCCATAAGAAATCAGTCCATTAGGAAGAAGTCCATAAGCAATCAGTTCATTAGGAAGACGTCCATTAGAAATCAGTACATTAGGAAGAAAACCATTAGAAATCAGTACATTAGGAAGAAATCCACTAGAAATCAGTACATTAGGAAGAAGTCCATAAGAAATCAGTTCATTAGGAAGAAGTTCATAAGAAATCAGTACATTAGGAAGAAACCCATAAGAAATCAGTACATTAGGAAGAAGTCCATAAGAAATCAGTTCATTAGCAAGAAATCCATTAGAAATCAGTTCATTAGGAAGAAATCCATAAGAAATCAGTTTATTAGGAAG